CCCCAAAACCCCAAAACCCCGCAAATAAAAAATATCTAATTTATTAAAAAAATTAGGAAGAAAAAAAAATAAATTTCAATATAAAATGAATACTGAATTAGAAAGCTAGTTCTTAATGCCTTTTGCAAATTCACCTGATAGATTCAAGCAATCTGTATCTTTTAAGTCTTAACTAGATGTAATCAATAATAGATATAATCATATTGACTTACATTATAATAGAATAATGATACAAGGGAGACCGTTTAATGATAACTCTCATTTTATAGAGAGTTATCATCCTCCAATAATTTGCAAAGACAAACGAGCAAGCTAAGCAATATTAATAGTGCAGTGGGTTTGAATATTACCACTGAATCACCAAACCAGACAAGCAATCCTCTAAATGAAAAAGTGAGTAAATCTCAATAGAATAGTTTTTTCTTGCAAATAAAGAAAAGACTTATAGAATTTGACTTAATTGAGAAAATGTTATAAGAAGAAAATTCAAGTCGACTAGAGGAAATTATTAAGGATTAATAAATAATGAAGAGCTCTTTTTATCCTAAGTTAATAATTCTTTCTAAAAAGAAGGTTTCCAATCAGCAAGTGATCTCGCTAATTGACAGAGAAAAGAAAGATTTGATGAGATAGCTAAGAGAAAATTTCAAATTCATTGGTGGATTCAAGAATAAAAACGTACCGAAAGAAAGCTAAGGTTCGGAAAGGAAAGCGGTAGATTGGAGAGTTGATCACAGTATCAATAAGAAGATACTGAAGCCAACTACTACCATCACTTAATGCCAAAAATCAGTTGAAGATTTAAATAGAAACAATGACTATTTCTCAAATTATCTGTGAAAGATAAAACACTTGTACAAAAAAAGCTAAAATGATAGCACATCTGAGGAAGAGAGCAGTAAAGGAAAGAGCACATTCTATAGATTATTTGATAGAAATAAAATAGTCGAAAAGATCAAGGTAGATTACCTCAAACTTGGCCAAGATTCTTTGTAGAAATCAAGGGAGAAAAAACTATCACAATTTTAAACGAATGATTGCAACACTACCAAAAACTTGAATAGCTCTCCAGATAATAAGACTAGTCTAGCATCTGGTATAAATAATACTAAAAATGTCAATTAAGGCTTCACTGATTATTCATTGAACTATATAAAAAAGATTGCTTAATAAAAGTAAGAGTAAGGAGGTGAGGACGATAATTATGAAGTAAAACTGTCAGATAGTACCCCCAAGGAAAAGAATTTGTCTAGAGATGCTAGTTTGGAGAAGCATACTGCAAGATAAGATTATTCTAAATTTTCTTTGGATCAACCTTAATCTAGTTAAGTATCAAGAAACCTAGTTAGCAGATCACTATTAATCCAAGATTTATCAACAATGGAGCAGAAGCAATTAAAAAACGAATTGCGAAAGTCCAGATACATAAGTAGAGAACTTGATTAATAGAATAATAATATCTAGCGAGCAATCAAAGAAAGACTTAATTACAGATCGTTCAAGAAGTTGTATAAATAGAATCTTACTAACGGAGATTAACCTCAATCCTATTATGAATCTTTCCTCAAGTCGAATTCAAATGAAGTCAATAGCTCTATAAATTTCAAAAGTAAGAGGAAATCAATGTAGATAGGGTAAAACCCTCTCGGTATCAAGTAAAAACTCATATAAATAGATCTTACAAGACTTCCTGTAATTTCAGCCCACATTAAAAAGCGTAAAAATCATGAGTATTAGCTAAGCTAGCACCATTTTAAAACTAGCCACAATAAATAAAAAGATGATTTAGTAACAAAGAATCTTAACTATTTTAGAGTCAGTTAGTTTAAGAAACATCATTTATAATAAAGGCTAAATTAACGAAACGGACTTTTTAATAGAGTTGAAAATAATAATTTTTACTCAGATTCTCAACAAAATAGAAATTTTAAAAGTATCAGAAGGCTTGCAAATATGAATCAGTCATTCGATGTTATGGAAAAATACAGACAGGATAACTCACTTGAAGAACTAGAAGAGAAATCTGCATCATTAGGATTAAGCTAAAGATCATTTGGTTCTAATGAAGTGCCATTCTAGATGTAATAAAAACTACAACCAAGGGCTTACAACAGCTTTATTCTAGAATAAGAAGACAGGCCAATAAACATAGAAATTAATGACATTGAAAGCTTTTCCAACCTTTAAGGAAGTACTATAAAAGAAAGTAAATATATCGAATTGCAGAAGTCTGCATAGTCAAAGAATTATGACTCAAAGGAGAAAGTTAAACATAACAAATTTACAAGAAACAATAGTGAAACAAGATTCAAGTGAGCAATTTTTAATATTACTGGAAATATAGTGATAGAATTTATTAATGCATTATTAAAAATTTTGATTTCATAATATAAAGCAAATAATCTATTCATGGGGTTTTGGGGTTTTGGGGTTTTGGGG